CATCATCACCGTCTTCAGGCTGAATGGGAGCGGCCTGCCTGGGAAACAGAGAGACAGAGAGAGAGAAATAAAATAAAAGAAATGAAGGAGCTACAGGGGGGGAAATACTTTAAGAAGAGAAAAGTGGAGAGATACTTTGGCAACGTACTGAACTCTGAAAGCGTGAGCAGCGCCCCTGGGCTCGGACCTGCCCGAGGAGACCTATAACTAGTGACCTCCTTAAAATCAGTTTTAAAAACACATCTTGACAGATTTGATTTGACGTGGTTTCACTTTTTATCATCCTTTCTTTTTTTAATCATTTCCCATTTACTTATAGTGATAGTGCAGTGGTTCAAATATTTACCTACTAAAAGTAAAAGTTCACCAGTTGAGCTCCAGGAGGAGACAAAACTCTTTGGGGTTGTGTCAGACGGGCATCTGGTGTAACAATCTGCCAAACCAACCATGTGGAGCTACCCACTGTGGAAGCCTTCTGAATAAGGAAGCAACCATACTGATTATTGATCTTGGTTTCTTTGCGGTCCCTCTTATCTTGTCATGTCTGGTTTATTTTTGTTTGAATTTTGTATTTTTTGCTTGTTTTTCACAGCACTTTGGAAGCTCTGATTTTAAGAAGCTTCTATTACATGTGTGATAATGATGATGATGATTTACTGATATAACCGCGAAAAAAGAACGCCATAAATTACCAGCTTGCCGCTGTTAGACACATACTATTATAAGAATCATGTGATCATGTGATCATGTGAAAAAAAAAAAAAAAAAGGAAAAAAAAAGAAAAAAAGGGAAAAAAAAGAAAAAAAAAGGAAAAAAAAGGAAAAAAGAAAAAAAGAAAGAAAAAGGGAAAAAAAGAGAAAAAAAGAAAAAAAAGAAAAAAAAGGGAAAAAAAAGAAAAAAGGGAAAAAAGGAAAAAAAGAAAAAAAAGAAAAAAAAAGGAAAAAAAGAAAAAAGAAAAAAAAAGGAAAAAAGAAAAAAGAAAGAAAAAAAGGAAAAAAGGAAAAAAGAGAAAAAAAGAGAAAAAGAAAAAAAAGAAAAAAGGAAAAAAGGAGAAAAAAAAGAAAAAAAAAGAAAAAAAGAAAAAAAAAGAAAAAAAGGAAGAAAAAAAAGGAAGAAAAAAAAGAAAAAAAAAGAAAAAAAAAGAATCATGTGATCAGCTCAAATTAAATATAAGTGACCTAACAGCTCAGGTTTACCTTTGTCCCTTCTTAAAGCAACCACCTGTCTTAGATGTAATGTTAATGATGTTGATGAGCTTTTAGGAGCTAATTTATAACTGATGCTTACTCAACAAACTGCCTGCATTTAACAGCAATAGAAAGGAAAGGGAAGATTGTTATTAGATGCTAAGAGATGCTCTGTGGCTACTCCACCGGTGCCATCGATTAGGCGGGCTAGACAGCGTTTGGCGTTTTTAAGTCTGTGTTTTGTGTCTGTGTGTGTACATGTGCACTCAACAGCAGCTGTGAAAGGAGCTGTTGCCAAAATGAGCCATCTTCAGAAAGATCCAAAAATTGTCCAACCACTGGGCAACCCCGCACCCGCACACACACACACACACACACACACACACACAGACAGATTATGACGGCTTAGTTTAACGACAGTTTTAATAGCACATGAATTTACTAGTGGACACAACTTACCCCCATCTTTAAGCTAGCTGAATTCACGAGTGTGTGTATGCGTGTGTGTGTGTGTGTATGGGCACACACAAACAGATAAGCACTCTCCATTTTGATGGCTTTCTGTTATGACTCCATAATGCTAATTACTTTGGTTATGTTCCAGCTTCTTTCAGGGAGACTGTGTGTCTGTGCGCGCACAGAGGATGACAGAAAAACATTTGCATCATTAAGAATTGTCGAAGCATCTCTGTAAAGCCAGGCTCTGACATCCTGAGAGGATTCTGCACCGCCTGTCCAGAATTCCACTTGACTTTCACGTTCCCTGTATCAAACAGGACTCCACTGCTGGCTCTGGTTACTTCTGCTTTTCCTCTCTCTTTCTCTTTTCCTTATTCTCGTTTCTCTTAGCTTTCCCTCTCTCCTCTGAGAGTGTGGGCGGCACCTACCTGCACTATGCGGCCCTCCCAGAGGTCTGCTCTAGCAACTGGCGGAATTCCAGTGGATGCACCTGCTTCCCATTTCCTCATCGGCGTGCATATAAAAGAGCTGGTTCAACATCCACTCGTCACCAGGTCGTCACAGCCATCTCAGCTTCAGGTCCTCGATCTCTCAGCTCTGTTTTCCCTTGGAGTTTCTCTGGATGCACAATCACCCTCTTATTATTACTCACATGCCTGCACACTTCCCACCACTCTCCAAAGAGGAAGTTAACCAGCTGATATGCTTGCTTACTTCTGAACCCACCTGTTAACTCTTTCAAATTGGCATTCCATGCTGTTATTGATCCTAAGATTGATTTTTAAACTATTTGTAAATATACAATTTAAATGGTAAATACACCTCTTTAGCTTTGTGTAATGACCCACAACATACAGCCTGGAGCATTATAGAACTACTCATGCATTAGCACTTTGTTTAAAACCATTGCACGCTGCTATAAATGCTTTAGATGTTGACTGTGCATCGGCGCCGCAAACGTCTCAGTGAAAAAGAAGTAGTGATTTCCAGCACACACACAGAGTATCATGTGCTCCATTCAAAGGGTCTTTCTTTGTCAAGGACAGGGTCTTTTGAATGGAACATTGAACATTGAAAATACAGAGGTGAGATGCATGTGGGACTGCATCCTTCTTCTCACACCTCATACGTTTTCCTACATATCTGCCAAACCAAGAGAGCTAGAAAGAGTTCAGTACATTTATTAGATGTGCAAATAAAAGAAGGAAATAAGTTTTCCGTCCATGATGTGTGGTAAGACCCCAAAGAGAATCTTTGAATACAGCTACGTGTTAGGTGCTGTGACGGTGAGAGACTGATGCATTTCTCGTGTTACATTAAGAACTGTGAGGCTACAGCCAGCAGCCAGCAAAACTCAGCAATTAACATATTATATCTCATTTTGATAAAGCTTTATCTTAAGGTACACATATTCACCATTAACTTGTGGCTTATAGGCATGTACATTTGTAGCTTATTTGCCCTTTATTAACCATTAGAAAACATTTATTATTATTATTGACTTATTCTTCCAAAACCAAACTCTGTGTCCTCTGAGACATTAGCTGAGTTTGCCCTTAATAAATGGTAAATGGACTGGTTCTTATATAGCGCTTTTCTACTCTGTCCGAGCACTCAAAGCGCTTTATACAGCTAATTCATTCACCCAATCACACCCATTCACACAAGCACTTCTAAGCTTAAGTGCTAAGTATCTAACATTCATACACATTCACACTCCGATGTATGCATTGGAGAGCAACATGGGGTTAGTATCTTGCCCAAGGATATTTGGCATGCAGACTGGAGCAGCCTGGGATTGAACCACCGACCTTCTGGTTAGTGGCTGATCCGCTCTGCCACCTGAGCTACAGCCACCCCTCCTAATAACCTCCTAATCACTGCTTATTGATTATAAGAGTCAATCTGCTAGTAAGCTAGTTATGGACAAGAGCTCAATTTATAAGCTAAGTTTAAAACATGGCTAATTACACAGTATTAACAGTTTCTAGTCTGTTTCATCAGACAAGTCTATATTTAAGTGGAACCGTTATCATCATTTCCAGTTCCATATTTTTATTTTCTATTTTTTCACCATTCAAAATATTACTCGAGTGATGTCCGCGCACTTAGATCTGTTTCCTAACTCCTATTGGAGGCGTTAATCAAACTGGATGAAACTTGCTATAAAAACTGCTGAATGTTCCAGGATGATCAATATCTATATAGCTTTTGGGAATCATAATTATTTTTTATAACACTCAAATTTATAGATATATATATATATCTATAAATTTGAGAAACAAATGGCGGGATTACGTGAACGTCGTGTGTGCGTTCTTTAGATCACATGCATGTTATGAGCATGCGTAGGTGTATGCTGTTGACGTATATGTTACTTATACCTGCACATTGGTGTTTCGTAATACATGTTGTTAAACTATTTTTTTAGTGGAATGTGTTGTCATGGTTATTTGCAAACAGGTGTTAATCAAGAAGTGACACTAATAGCGCCTGTAACTGATGTATGTTGCAAAGAAGAAGGACAATAACGATAACTATATGTTCTTATTATTTATTATTCTTACAGAGAGGCTGTGTTATTAATCACTGTTTGTTTTATTCAATAATATAATGAAGATAAAAAGAAAAATATCACAATTAACATACATGTCTGTGTTTTTATACATGATCATAAAAATACGCCTGCTAATGACCAATGAAAGGCCTGTAGGTGCTTTTTGGTAGAATTTCTTCATTTTCTTAAAGAGGCCTTGATGCAGTTCATCACCTGAATGGAGAAAGATGTTTCTGCACCCTGTAAGGTCAAAGCTATCTGCTAGTGACCAAAGTAAATTTTTCATACCACACTGTATACCTTTTTACAACCAGTTTCAATAAGCAACACTAACCAACCAGTCAGGGAAGACACCTTTGTTTCTGTTCTGTTTCTGTTCAGCTTCCTGGTTCATCGTACAGAAAATGAAAATTTTACTTCCAACACAACTTTAATATGTTTAAAACATAAGCATCCTTGACAGACATTGACTTTTAAGTTCATGTTTTTATTTTAGACCTCACGAGTTCAAGCCATTTTGTAGCAACTTTGAAATTCTTACGCAGTCATGTGAAACTTATCAACGCTGGGATGCTGGGAAGAAGTTACAGAGCAAGTCCTCATGGCGGGATAATGTAAGTTATTGTGCAGCATTGCATGAGACGTTATCCTACTTTATTAACTACTTTGGACAGTTCTGTGTTTGTGTTAAATTTAAGTGTAAACCTAAAGTAAAGGAGTCACTTATATTGCAGTTAGATTCCAAATATTGCACATACTTTACATTGCTTCACTGTGTCCAGGCTCCTTCGACACTGCTACACCATGAAAGTCCAGTCACTAGGTGTGCGTCCGTACTGCAAGAGAACAAAGGTCACGAAAAGGTTACGTGAAAATCTGGTCCTTTGGGGCCCGCACAGAAGAAAATTTCATGCCACTAAGTACTAAACTTCTCTCGCCTCAATCTGCTTAATTGCGAGCGCAACACGAATCAAAAAAATGAACTCAAATATCCGTAAGCGAATCTGCAAACTCAGCCGCCAAACGCAACACAACACAACACAGAGAAAGGAACTATAATAAAAAATCAAAACAAAATGTTCCCCAATCCGTGACAGCCGCGGAGACAAATCCAATTATTTGTGTCTCATGTTGCAAATTTGTTCTAATGGTCGAAGTGAGAAAGTAAATAAACGCCTGCGAAGGGGAAACAAAAGAATGTGATTTCTAATTAACTTGAAAGAGAAACAGCAGGGCGACTTAGTAAACCCATCTTTCATCTGCTGCCTCAGACCACTCGTTTGTTTGTTGCACAATGTTGTCTTCAAGAGGGGCGGGAGGAAGAGCGTGTGTGGGGGGCTAA